TATGTATCAGTTGTTGCCATTTTAGAAATATAAGAAAAAAACTTGCTCTGAGAAGTTGAAAGCCCGAATCAAGGATCTGTTCCGAATGAATACTGTTTCGATCGATTTTTGTTGCTGATTCCAGTCTGTGTCGTGGTTATCCATTGATTTTGGAGATGAACAATTTGAAGAAGAAGACAATTCGCCGTTAAAGCTTCATCAAAGCTCAAGTTCGAAAAAATGGCTTGACGCAAACAAGCTTCGTTTCGACTTAATATTATTGCAAAAGATTACAAATGTCTTGGAAGATCTCATATCTCAAATTTGGGATAGTTTGATGGAGGATTCGGTGTTTGTTTGGGAGAATTTCAGCTGCAAATTGGTTGAGTAAGAAGAACAATGCTGAATTTCAGAAACAGCCATAATTTTCAGATATAGTCCAAAAATCTGCCACATTATTCCAAAAGTAGCAACTTTTCCCGGTAATCCGTTTGAGTCTTACTTTAAATATTTCTCATTCTTTTAAGTGTTGGGGTAGATTCGATCAAACCCAATAATTTTAGTTTAAATCTTGTATTTTTAATAGAAGTTCATTGAATAGGTACACATTGTTTAGAATCCAACAACTTGGAAAAGATTAGAATTAAATACTCATAAGCTTCAAATTCTGGCTCCATCTTTGCTTGTAATGTAATACAAACATTACATCGGCCACAATTGCTCAAGTTTGGTCATATGGAGATTTCAATTTGGGGTTTACATCCTCAAAGTTAAGAGTCTTTAATGAACATTTAAGGCCATATTAAGATGTTTATCTACCTATTATGCCTAAATATTGTTTTTAGTCTAATGTCAATAATTTAATGTCCATTGATTACAGATTGACTTGTCAATTGTTAAAGCAAAAATGTATCAAATTGTAGAAAATGGGAACTCAACAAATGACCAAGGAAAGATTAACTCAAAATTACAAAACTAACAACTAGAAGTTTAAATTTAGGGAAGTTCCAACATTGATAAGCAAATACTTTCTTTGTTTGTCTAGTTTTGATTTGACACAGAGTTTAAGAAAGTAAGAAAGATTTTTGAATCTTGTGCTCTTAAACTAAAGATACATAGAAGGTACAAGAATGTCTTTTAATCTTATGGTTTTAAGCATACCATGTGAAAAGTTAAAATGAAAGAATTGCCTAGAAAAGGAAAGTGACATTCTTTTTTAAACAAACTAAACAACAAAACCAAACAAATTGAAATGGAGGGAGTATTTACTTTCCTAACTATGGTTGGAACATTGCTTTGGTTTATTAAATCTCAGTCATTATCTTTTTATCATGATACATGTCTCTCATCCAAGTTAGAATTTGAGAAAGGGAGAGATAGAAAATGGAGAGGAGCCTCATCCCAAAATTCATGCGCAATCCCAAACAGCATGTTGAGAGAAGTAGAAAGAACAAGTTACTTTTGCTCACTTTCCTTTCTTAAATGTTCTTCCATCCTCACACTGTGTCACACACAAACATATTTGACGACGTGTTTTCTGGAATTCTTTTGTGTGCATACATTATTTATTCCCATGTCGACAACATATGTACATAATTTACCTCTTGTCCTAGTCATCACTACCCCAAACATCAATAATCCTAGATATCACTATAGGACTCCTAACTGAGTGATTACCATTTTCTTCAACCCAAGTGATTGACCCGACGTTCCTACTCTGATCACTGCCTATATAGCGAATTGACAAAGTATAGCTTTGTTTATCATTCTTCTCCTTGAACACCAGAGTTCGCGGTGACACCGAAACTGTGGAATTTTTGGGAGTTTCTATCTTTACTTTATAAGTTGCTCCACCTTTACCAACATTTGTTAGAGTCCTCCTGAATTTCTGCTCCAACCAGGTGAAGTTCCCCTCGAGACTGAATGGGTACAAGGCAATGAATGATGGGTAATTGAGATCAGCTGATGGATTTGAGCAGTTATCGTAATTGGCTGATGATCTTGCAAATGTTTTGAACTGCTCTTCGGTGAAATTCATAGAGCATATAAGATTTATGTAATCTTGTGGAGTAGCATCATATACTAGGCCGGGATCAAGAGCTCTGTTCGGGTCAACATGCCCTGCTCCCATGTCTAGGGGCGTGGCTACAAAGTTATCATCCTCTCTAATAGGCTTTTGAGCACTATTCAAATGGTTTGCAGTAGTCATCATGGCAGAGCGAATAGCTGAAGGACTCCATTCAGGATGTGCGCCTTTTAGCATTGCTGCAATTCCAGCCGCATGAGGAGCAGCCATTGATGTGCCTGATTTAAGCTCGTAATCAGTGGCTAATGCTATGTTCTGAATACTTTGTGAAAAGAGATTGGGTGGAACCGCTGCAAGAATCAGTACCCCTGGTGCCATAATATCTGGCTTTGCAATTCCCAAGTAGCTTCTGGAGGGCCCTCGTGATGAGGATCCAGCAAGAATTGGGGCTGGCCTTTCTCCATCCACATACATTTCTTGGAATGTTATGGTGGCCGTGGGAGCAACACTGTTTTTAACGTAATTGATGACTTTTTTCCCTTCCTTTTTGTCAATCACAACTCCCGGGTGGGAAAACGAAGCATCTCTGAACACTCCTGGATCCTCAGAAATAAAGATGCCTGCTTTAAATCTTGCTTCTTCGACGTGAGAAATTTGACTACTGAAACCAAAACCATCTTCATCCGCATTATAATCACAGATGATAATGGTGCTTTCGGGATCAGGAACTTGCGATAGCAACTCATCTGACGTGCAAGTGGCTAGAGTCTTGTTGTAAATCACCAGAGAATCCCTGACAAAGGCTCTTGCAGGAAACAAGCTCCACCCCCTAATTTTTAATCCATTGCCCAAAGTCAAAGTTCCTGCAAATGTCCGGTCGGTGTAGCCTGATGCCACGCACAATATCCATGGAGATCCATTGCCTAAACTCCCCCAACTTGGACCTCGATTTCCAGCTGAAGCCGAAACCAATACCCCCTTCATCATAGCTCCAAAAGAAGCAATTGATATAGCATCTTCATACAAGGGAATGAACCGGAATCCAAATGAAATGGATATCATGTCAACACCGTCTGCAACAGCTTGGTCCATAGCAGCAATTAGATCCGATGTTAAGCTTCCTTCACGAAAGCTAAACTTGTATACAGCTATCCTAGCTCGCGGAGCAACCCCTCTTGCTGTTCCTTGTGCATAGCCAAAATGGGAAACACCTTTCGCAAAGTTCCCAGCAGCAATGGAAGCACAATGTGTGCCGTGACCATTAGTATCCCTAGCAGAATTCATGGAAATGTTCAGAGTGGGATCATCAGCCAAAAGTCCCTTGTTGAAGTAATTAGCCCCAATGAGTTTTCTGTTGCACATGGAAGTGTTAAACTGGGTACCTGGATTGCAAATTCCTTTCCATCTTTTGGGGATTTCAGGAATACCATCATCTCGAAAACTTGCAGATTCGGGCCAGATGCCACCGTCAAGAACACCAATGATCACATCTTGGCCTAAACCAGAAGCTGGCCATAGACCAGATGAAGGATTGAGCTTGAGGTAATCAGATGTGTAAGTAGTGTCAGGTTCCACAGTTCTATCTTTGTATGCTGAAATGAAACCTGGTGACTTCTTCAAAGCTTTCAGTTCATCTTTGGACAAAACAGCACTGAAGCCATGAAACACATGGTCATAAGAGTAAACAAGTTTTGGAGCAGAGTGGAATCTGTCGACTGATGAAGGAACAGAAGCTTTGATGGAATCAATAGTAGAAGAATGCCAATGATGGTGATTAGTAAAGACATTAGGCATGAAAGATTTGTCCAAATGGACAATATAAGTGGATCTTTGTGCTATAGCTAAGTAACAGAACAAATGAGCAGAAAGAAACCATGAAAGGAAGAGAAAATGAAGAGAATAAGGAAACCCCATTGTAGATCTCTGTGTTTACTGCACACTGCAGATTCAAGTGACTTTATAAGATAATAGAAGCATCATTTGGTTGTTGCAATAATAATAAAGATAAAGGTAAGTGAAGTGAAGAATGAAATGTGTTAAAAAGGGTAGTAAAGTAATAAAGATAGGCGGCTATTGTAAGTGAAATGAACCTATTAAGTACTGTTTCTAGTAAGGAATCTGTATGTCAATTTTCAAATACGACCCCACTTGTTATCCATTGAAATCAGTGATACTTTCAATACTATATTAATCATTTCTTGTTTTATTTAGTATTATTTGAATAAATTTGTGAGGCAAGATATGACAGAATCTTGTAAACTAAATCAAATATAATCTCTTTGGAAGAAAATGAGAAGTCAATAATGAAGGCAGTTGCTTTCACTCTTTCTCCATGTTACTGTATAAGATCTATTTTTGCTTCTGGATAATATAAAGAATCAAGTGATTGAGTTTTGCTCTTTTATTTTTTCTACATAATCTTTTTTGTTCTAAATTTCCTGATATTCTGTTCCCCATTTGGGAAAATATGGTGGGGGGGATACATTTATAATTGTTACACGGGGTAGAGCTAGAATACGGTTAAGTAACTTTGTTCTAAATTTTATATTTGTATTAAGAAATTTATTGAATATATACTAAATATTTATTTAGAACTTGATAATATATATGAATAGAAACTCCAACCTATAAACATCAAATTCATGCTCTGAATATTCACATTTAATTGAATGATTTTCCCTTCAAATGAGGTGATCTTTAATTTACCCTACGCATGGGTGATTTTCAATTTTTCCTCGTAGAAATTGAATTTATGTCTAGTGGGGCATATGTCCTTTAAAGGCACGAAGTATGACTTATGAAATATTATGATACGAAATTAAAGACTAGCACAAAATGAGGCAAAAGTGGGACGGAAGGAGTACTGTTATTTGTTTCTTTAAGATAGTACAGACAATTCATACAGCAAACACATTTACCATTTTGCTTTCCCTTAGTTCTTGTGTTTTGGTAGTTCCAGTTCAAGAATATGATGGTCATAAAGTGGCACGACTTATTACCAGAGATCAATTATGGGAGATATCACTATAGGGCTCCTAACAGTATGATTTCCGTTCTCTTCAACCCAAGTTATCGACCCATAGTTCCAATTGGGACCTATATAACGAATTGTTAAAGTATAACTTTGCTTCTCATTTTTATTCTTATACACCAAAGTTTGCGGTGACACTGAAACTTTTGAGTTCTTGGGAGCTTTTATCTTAGCTTTATAAGTAGCTGCACCTTGACCAACATTTGTGACTGTCCTCCTGAATTTCTGCTCCAACCAGGTGTAGTTTCCCTCATTGCTGTACAATGCAATGAATGATGGGTAATTGAGATCAGCTGATGGATCTGAGCAGTTGTGATTGGCTGATGATCTTGCAATTGTCTTGAATTGCTCTTCTGTGAAATTCATAGAGCATAAGAGATTTACGTAATCTTGTGGAGTAGCATCATATACTAGGCCGGGGTCAAGGGCTCTGTTGGGATTGACATGCCCTGATCCCATGGCTAGGGGTGTGGCTTCCCTGTTAATGTCAGAGTCTATGATTGGTTTTCCAGTGCTATCCAAAGGATCTGCCGTGGTCATCATGGCAGAGCGAATAGCTGAAGGACTCCACTCAGGATGCACGGCTTTTAGCATTGCTGCGATTCCAGCAGCATGTGGTGCAGCCATCGATGTGCCTGATTCAAGAATGTAATCAGAGGATAATTCTATGTTCGTCCCAATACTTGTAGCAAATACATTTGGTGGATATGCTGCAAGAATCAGCACCCCTGGTGCCAAAATATCTGGCTTTGCAATTCCCAAATAGCTTCTGGAGGGTCCTCGTGCGGAGGATGCAGCAACAACTGGTGCTGGCTTTGCATCTAGATAGGTCTCTTGGAATGTGATGCTGGCTGTGGGAGCGACGCTATTTTGTACATAACTGATCACTTGTTTCCCTTCAGTTTTGTTAATCACAACTCCAGGGTTGGGAAATGAAGCAGACCTGAACACTCCTGGATCCTCAGAAATAAAGATGGCTGCTTTAAGTCTTGCTCGACTGACAGTGAGCATTTGATCAGAAAATTCCCAGCTTTCATCACATATAATGATGGTGCGTTCGGGATCAGGAACTTGTGATAGCAGTTCCTCGGAATTGCAATTAGATAGAGTTTTGTTGTAAATCACTGTTGAATGCATAACAATGACTCTTGCAGGAAACAAGCTCCACCCCCTAATTTTTAAGCCACTTCCCAGTGTCAAAGTTCCTGCAAATGTCCGGTCAGTGTGGCCTGATGCCACACACAAGATCCATGGAGATCCGTTCTTTAAAGTTCCAGTATCCGGGCCTCGATTTCCAGCTGAAGCTGAAACAAGAACTCCCTTCATCATAGCTCCAAAAGAAGCAATTGATATAGCATCTTCATACATGGGAACAAAACGGGACCCAAATGAAATGGACATCATGTCAACACCATCCGCAACAGCTTGGTCCATAGCTGCAATTAAATCTGAAGTAAAGGTACCTTCTTTGAAACTAAACTTGTAAACAGCTAGCCTAGCTCGTGGTGCAACCCCTCTAGCTGTCCCTGGTGCATATCCAAAATGGGAAACACCTTTGGCAAAATTCCCAGCAGCTATTGAAGCTACATGTGTACCATGACCATCGGTATCCCTAGCAGAATTCATCGAAATGTTCACTGTGGGATCATTTGCCAAAATACCCTGATTGAAGTAATTAGCCCCAATGAGTTTCTTGTTGCACATTGAAGTGTTAAACTGAGTGCCTGGCTTGCAAATTCCCTTCCACCTTTTGGGGATTTCAGGCATACCATCATCTTGGAAACTTACAGATTCAGGCCAGATGCCAGAGTCAAAAACTCCAATAATCACATCTTGTCCTAATCCAGAAGCTTGCCATAGACCAGATGATGGATTGAGTTTGAGGAAATCAGATGTGTGGGTAGTATGAGGTTCCACAGTTCTATCTTTGTAAGCTGAAATGAAACCTGGTAAATTCTTCAAAGCTGCTAGTTCATCTTGGGACAAAACAGCACTGAAGCCATGAAGCACATTGTCATAGGAGTAAACAAGTTTTGGAGCAGAGTGGAATCTGTCTACTGATGAAGGAACAGAAGCTTTGATGGAATCAATAGTGGAAGAATGCCAATGATGGTGATCAGCAAAGACATTTGGCATTAAGGTTTTGTCCATATGGACAATGTAAGTGGACCTTTGTGCTATAGCCAACATATGAGCAGAAAGAAACCATGAAATGAAGAGAAGATGAATACAATAAGGTAACACCATTATAGATCTTTTTTGTGTTGACTACACACTACACCTGCTTAAGTCACCACAGATTCAAGTGACTTTATAGGATTATGCAGTTAGCATTTGGTTGTTGCAATAATCATATTGTATGTCAAGTGGAGAACAAACTGAGTTTAAAATGGTAGTAAAGTATAGTAAAATATAGGCGGCTATAGTGGTAGTGAATGAAGCAATTAGTATATCTGGTTCTTCTCACTATTTCTAATATTGCAATTTGCAAACATGACCCCACTTGTAATCTAATGAAGTCAAATATAATCTCTTTTAATTTAACAAAGAGAGAAGTCACTAATGATGGGTGTTGCTTCCACTCCATGTTACTTTTAGATTTAATAGTTGTAACAGGTGAGATGATCCTTTTGTCTTCTGGATAAAAATATAATGTGGATCACAAGAGCCAAACTTCCCCAACTTGCTGATGAGTCAGCTACTGACACTAAAAACATTTCTCTACTTTGGAAAATAAATCCAACGAGATTATAAAAGAGAACTTGACAGAACCACTTAGGTAGAGAATGATAAAATTTTCGCCTAATACATAAATATGTCCTTTAATTGGGCCTCAACTTACATTATTGCTCTCCATTTTTTATGTATACAAGTAAACACTTATACTTGTATAAAGTTGAACAAATATATACATGCATCCTACATGATAATTTGAGTCTTACATGGTATTCTATTATGCCCACGTAGGACTCATATGTCTATGTGTTTAACTTTATACAAATTTAAATGTCGGCATAAATGTGAATGAAGCAAAGTTAAAGGACACATTTATGTATTATGCCTAATTTTTTTTTTTAAAAAGGCATAATACATAAATGTGTCCTTTAACTTAACTTCATTTCACATTTGTGCCATTCAACTTTGAATTGCACGTACAAGTCTGCACTTTAATTTGTATAAAATTGAACAAGTAAACACATGAGTCTTATGTGACATAATACACGTAGGACACAAATTGTCATGTAGGATGACATACAAGATGTGTGTGTTTATTAATTTGTTCAACTTTATGTAAGTTTAAGTGTCTACTTGTGCACACTCAAAATTGGAAGGCATAAATATGTAATTTAAGACCAAATTAAAAGATATATTTATGGTTATGCTTTTCTTAAACTATGCAAGCAAAAGTGATGTCCACTATACTATTTTGGGATGTCCAACAATACTTGTCCACTTTATGAAATCAATGGATAATTTTGCACTTAGTTCCTAATTTATCCTTATCATTAATTATAGTATCCTATTATATTTTTCAAGACATTGTATTTATTATATTCAAGGGTGATATAGTAAAATTACCCTTCTATTGATAGTTTACTAAGAAGTGTGCAAAGTCAATATTGGACAACTATTGTTAGACAGAGGGAATATTAGTTGAGTGATCATCTACTCTGTTCGTCCCACAATAAGTGTCACTTTAGATTTTCAAGACAATTACTTGAGTATGTTTTTTTTAACAATACTCTTACATTCCATCTTCTTAATAATGTTCAATTTTCAAGAGACATTTATTAAATATGGATATACTCCTTCTGTCCAGCAATAGTTGTCCACTATTGACTTGACACAAGAATTAAGAAGTAATAAATGATAGGGGTAACCCATATTAAATATGGGAAGTGCTAAATGGCCAGAAAATAAAAAAAAAACTATAATATTTTTTTAATTTTAAAATAAACTAGTCTTTTTTTCATTTTTTAGTTAAAAGGTATTAAAGCTAAAAGGGTAAAAATGTTTAAAAGCGTAAAATAACATAGATAAAATATCATTCTGGCCAAAAAGATTTTTCCATTAAATATAGGTCATCTAAACATAGAAAAATGAATAATATTTAATAGTAAAGGTAAAATAAACATAAAATGATGGAGTACATTATTCACTGATTTCATAAACTGAACAAATATTGTTGGATATCTTAAAATAGTATAGTGGACAAGTAAATATGAAAAAAAGAGTAATAAACTATACATGATATTTATTAATTTCTTACTGAATCTAATTTTTATTAAGGTGATATTCATTTTCGGACGAATAATTGTTATTATGGTTGTATTCATTTTCGGATGAATGGAGTAGTAGTTTGATCAATAGAGGAAAATATATAAATTAAAAAGGCACTCTCCAACCCTTGTTCCAACAACAAATAATTATGAAAAACAAAAAGAACAATTGTGTAAAACTGTAAATTATACTAGTCAAGAGTAATTAGTTATAAATTCATTAAACCCAAAAATAAACTTGAAAAGTAAATAAAATCTAGCTAAAAGTAATTTCTACCGCCCTCTAGGAACAATGTAATATAAGAAACAAATATAAAAAATTAAAAGATTGTTCAAGTATTAAAAAAAATAACGAATTTCAATTTATTTGAGACTGAAGAGCGAATTGTTGTAGTCGAATTGTGCATGCATCTTCTTTCATTAGGCTTGGGAGTTGTTATCGAACTCATTTTTATTATTTGCTTCACAAATTTTGATTTTGCGTTTCTTGATGATACACTTGACGATAAAAAAAACCACAAAAACCAAGACAAAAGCAACACTTAGACCTTTAAGAAATGGAATGAGGAGACCATGCCATTTATTAGCACCCCAATCTTTCTGATTTTCACCTTCGTAAGTAATATTAGCACTATTATTTCCAGGATTCGACATATTGAATTAATTTGTACTAAGGGAAGAATTTTGTAAGAAGAGAAAAATTATGTTGGGAAGATGGGTGCGCGCATATGAGAGGGTTGAAGGTAAGTAGACCTTTATTTATACGTGTCATTTGTCTCTTATTTGAAGAAAAAATAAATAAAGGTAGGGGGAGTAGGGAGGATTTATTTAGTAAATTTACTTACTAATGAAACATTCTCCTTTTTTTGGTTATAAAAGAAAAAAAAAACGCAACTTTCCTTATTCATATGTTTGCCTTAAATTTATTGAAAATTTTAGGTTGAGAGAGCAAAAGGAAAGAGAGGAAAGGGAAATAAAAAGGAACCATATATAAAGTAGAAAGAAAAAACAATAATGCTACTAATTTGTAAATAGTGTAATTTTTTGGTAAGGTCAAACATTAGGGTACCAAATTCTTGGGCTAATTAACATAGCTATAGTTAAAAATATTTATAATTTGCACCTAAATTATCTATTTAATAGTTACTTTTTAATTTCAATGTGTATTTGCTTTCTGAAGAAATACGCTAGTTGGCAAATTTGTCAACTAGCATATTTCTTAGAAATTGTATCTATCAGTTTTTTCGGTTTTTTTTCTCTCTCTCCAAATTAGTATAACCCCAAATTCAACAATGTCGTGTTTTCTCTCTCTTGCTTCGACAAAGCTTCGTCATGAATGACTCATGATAGTTTATGAAATTTCATGGCAACTATGAGAGAAAGCTTTGGAGCTTAAGTATATTTGCCCAAATTATTCTTTTTGTATCAATGTCTTTTAGTGTATTTGCAACTAGCTATAAAATTGTATCAATGTACTCAAGTGTATTAATTTCTTGTTAAACATTTGTATCTTGCATTTGAGTATATATGTTCATTGTCGTACATTTGTATCAAATCATATGTTCATATTTGTATCAAAATTCCGTTGATTATGAAAGATTGCGATATCAGTTGACTGTGATTATGCAAATTTTTTTTTTAAAAAAAAAAACCTGTAGCGCAATTCACATATGTTATTAAGGGTTGTATTTGTATTCAGAGCCAATTTTTGCAAATAAATACATTTGATAGCAAGTTATAATATAGCTATAAATTGTAATTAACAAAAGAATAGTTAAGAAGGACTATAGTTAGTTATTTTTGAAAATTTTCTCAAACAAAAAATGTAGGCAAATTGCTATCAAGCAATGTTGAAATGACTCATTAACACAGACTTGAGAGAAGAGTCTTTCATCAGATTTACCTTTTCTTCTTCTTTTCAAATTATTTTACGTTTGTTTTTAGACGTTCAACCAAGTTTTTCCTTTATTGATAGCTTAACATCTCTTTCTATAAATTAAAAAATTGCACTAAATTGATATTTTTGATACCTAAGTTAGTGGTTTGATGGGAGGAAAATTGTTTAAAAATAATTAAGCAAATAAAATTATTTTCTTATTTCTAATTATTTATGATGATCACACACTTAAATATAATAATAAATGTGCACAACATGCACGTGAGGATCTTGTTAAAGAATAATTAAATCCATCACTAATATTTTTTTTTTAAAAAACAGAGAGAACATCCACATGTTTGACTCATAAAAAAAATCAATTCAACCCATACATGTGTGTTAAAGAATAATTAGGTAAGTAAATAAAGTGTTCTTCATCTTAAGAACTTAAATTTTTAATTAAGATGATCATACACTACCAATTTTAAAAAACATAAATAAATGAGTTAACTTGAAGTAAAAAAAATAAAACACCACTACCAATAATTTCTCTCACTCTTTTGACAAAATTTTGTCAATAACTACATACCAATGCTATATATCCGCGTAAAATTAACAAAACTATATAATTCGAAATACAGGTGCAACACACGTCGAGATACTAGTAATGTAATAAAAGAAACAAAAACATTGTCAAACTATTTTTTTTCTTCCCCCTTCTACACTTTAGACGTAGCCTCATCATCACTATCCTCTTTTGATTCATCATCACTATGATATGCCTCATTAATTTTGGAGGAATTTCTTCTTCTAAATCTGCAGATGATTTTACAAAGCAGGCATAACACAACGACCCATACAACACCCCAAAGGGCTTTGTTTGGAATTTGCCAACCATCATCATTGTTCAATTTTGTGTTATTTCCTGCAGGACTTATAGCACTTGTTTGAAAAGACATATTCGAAATTCAACTAGAAAAAAAAGACAAAATTTATTTTGTGTGAAGATGGTAGGGGTCTATTAATATTTTATAACCCAAAGTTTTCCGTATTCATAAAAAAACAACATATATACATGACTAGTTGTGATTCGAGGAAAAAAAATATAGAGAGAAAAGAGTAACTTTCCTTATTCATATGCATGCCTTGAGATTTATACATGGAAATTAGGTGCAAGGTGTCTTTAAAAGTGTAAAAGAACCATAAATAGAGTGGAAAAGATGAACAATATAATTTCTTTTTGGTTAAACGTTACTTTTCTATTTTTATTGGAGTGGTCAATGTTATTGTGCCGAGGTAAAAGAGGGAATCGGGTAATTTCAATTGAAATTGAGTAATTTTGGTTGATTTGGGGGAATCATTCAATTGAGGGGTATATTTGTTAAGTTTGGTGAAGACGGGTATATTTAGAGTCCTGTAATATAATGAAGGATAAACTTAACTGATAAATTTAAATAATAGAAGGGTAATTTTTACCTTTTCCCTTACAATAACTATGTTAACCTTGTGGAATTCAGTCACTCACTTGGTTGGCTACCTAAATTTACACCTTATTGGTGAGATTCGATTCTCTACGACATTGTAATTTCCTTCCCGTTTTCCCTTCCCCTACCCCGAATATTTTATTTAAAAAAAAAAACTATGTTAAGCTTAATCTTGAAACACAGACTGAGAACATGAAAATGGTGACGACATTTCTGGGATTTCACTGATCTCAAACATAATAGAGACATAGGGGAAAAATCCATCGGGATTATACTTACCGGTGTATGTGTGTGAAACTGTGAATGATACAATCAATATGAAATGTCAAACATAGAGACATACAGGGAAAAATCCATTAGAATAAAATAACTTGTTGAAGTGCGCGAATGATACAATCAATATGAAATGTCACTTGTAGAATCTGTTTTATATTTCTATTTAAAACAATTGTTTTTCTAAAAAAAATATTTTTCAAAAATTTTACTAATCAAAACATTTCAGAACACTCTTAATTAGTCTCATAGAACTACATTGGATAGAATAACATATTCAATTAGAGCACCAATAACACAGGGTAAAATATTATATTACTAATAGAGAAATACAAAATATATGTAAAAAAGAAAATCATAGGTGCATCGTCGTGTTTTTGTTTGCTTAGTACATCATTGTCCTTGCACTGCAATGTAAAAATAAGGAAAACTAACAATAATTCCACTTGGCTTTCACATCATTCAATTTTTTTAATCTAGCAATGCAAATATACTCTACTATATATACATGAAAAATAAATTACTCCATGTGAGTAGTAATACTATTCAACAGATTCGGAGGCACACGAAAGATAAATCCAAATGACGACCATTGCAAGAGGAAAAATGAGGAGGACGAAGAGAGAAGGTGGCTGAATCGAACCGATAAACAATGGCAGAAATAAAAGACAAATCACCACGACTAACATCATCAACATTGAGCCAACTCCCCATTGACATTGCTCCATTTCTTGTGCCATTTTTTTCTTATAATTCTTTTGTTACTTTCAGAAAATGTAAGATATATGAAGAATAATAGTATAATATATGAGTAATAGTCCCTTTATATAGGTAGTTTTCGATAGTCATGTTGTTTCACCAAAGGACGTGACAATTAGTTTTAAATTGTTACATGCGGCTTAATTTTTCAATTTCACACTTGGTGTTTGAATAAAGTGAAAAAAAGGAAAATTTTGTATAGCAAGTTTAGGAGAAATATTAACTTTTTTTCTTAAACAAGAGGACAATTTTAAAGCATATATTATTAATGTTTTATTATGTATACATATGGATAATTAATAAGGGCAATCATCTGATAAGGATAATGATTAAACAAAATACCATATATTAATAATAACTAACCTCTATTAAATAATATTTTAACTTTTTAATTTAGCAGTACTAGTGCCAAAGTGTATACAAATGAAATTCTGTTTATGTTTTACTCTTAAATATAGTTGATGTGATTATTAGCTTACCAATAGTTAAATAACATTTCACATTTAAATGAATTTTTGGCACTTTTTTCATTGTTCAAAATAATTGAATTGTTCAAAGTTTAAGATGGATATTTGATTATTTTTTTCCATATTTACCCTTTCCTTTAATGAATTTTAATATTTTCTAGGGGATAAATTGCAGTACTTACAAAATTATGTTTATGATTTCACAAAAGATAATAGTGGAAATTATGATTTGAATTCTATCGTTGAATGTTTTTCTTAATAAGTATACATTACCTCACAAATTCAGTTAATATGGAATAGATATATTCAAATAATTATTCAATCTTGGGCGTTTTAGGCGCCAAGTTGCTCCTATTTATTTCTAGCACAACTACTTTACATTTAGCATATATTAGTACTATATAATTGGGAAAATGCTCTGAAAAATACTCTAATTTTGGCCGAAATTGTTGTTACGTTATCAAACTTTATGGAGGATTTTTTGCCCCTGCACTATTTCATAGTGTATTTTAAAGGTATATATGTGTCAACATGGACACGTTACTATTTATAATGATGCAATATTTATGATGTCCACGTGGACACATATATACCTTTAAAATATAGTATTAAATAGTGCAGGGGTAAAATGTCCTTTACAAAGTTCGGTATTGTTACAACAATTTCTGTCAAAGTTCGAATATATTTCAGACATTTTTCCCTATATAATGTGTTTCTTAGTTCCCCCTTAGTCTTCGCTACCCCAGACCTCAATAATGGTAGATGTCACTATAGGACTCCGAACAGTGTGGTTGCCATTTTGTTCAATCCAAGTGATCGACCCAAAGTTTCTACTCTGATCACTATCACCTATATATCGAATTGTCAAATTATAACTTTGCTTATCATTTTTCTCCTTGAACACTAGAGTTCGTGGAGACACTGAAACTGTGGAATTCTTCGGAGTTTCTATCTTCACTTTATAAGTTGCTCCACCTTTACCAACATTTGTAAGGGTCCTCCTGAATTTCTGCTCCAACCAGGTGAAGTTCCCCTCCAGGCTGAATGGGTACAACGCGATGAATGATGGGTAATTGAGATCAGCCGATGGATTTGAGCAGTTGTTGTAATTGGCTGATGATCTTGCAAATGTTTTGAATTGCTCTTCTGTGAAATTCATAGAGCATATAAGATTTATGTAATCTTGTGGAGTGGCATCATATACTAGGCCGGGATCAAGAGCTCTGTTCGGGTCAACATGCCCTGCTCCCATGTCTAGTGGTGTGGCAATCATGTTATCATCCTCTCTAATAGGCTTTTGAGTACTATCCAAATGGTTTGCTGTAGTCATCATGGCGGAGCGAATAGCTGAAGGACTCCATTCAGGATGTGCACCTTTTAGCATTGCTGCAATTCCAGCTGCATGAGGAGCAGCCATGGATGTGCCTGATTTAAGTTCATAATCAGAGGATAATTCTATGTTCTGAATACTTTCTGAAAAGATATTAGGTGGAAATGCTGCAAGAATCAGTACCCCTGGTGCCATGATATCTGGCTTTGCGATTCCCAAGTAGCTGCTGGAGGGCCCTCGTGCTGAGAATCGAGCAAGAACTGGGGCTGGCCTTTCTCCATCCATGTACGTTTCTTGAAACGTTATGGTGGCCGTGGGAGCAGCACTGCTCTTAACATAATTGATGATTTGTTTCCCTTCCTTTTTGTTAATCACAACTCCGGGGTAGGAAAAAGAAGAAGAGGTAAACACTGCTGGATCCTCAGAAATAAAAATGCCTGCTTTAAGTCTTGCTCGATTGATGTTAAAAATTTGGCTAGGGAAACCAAAACCATCTTCATCTGCATTATAATCACAGATGACGATGGTGCGTTCAGGATCAGGAACTTGTGATAACAGTTCTTCTGATTTGCAATCGGCTAGAGTCTTGTTGTAAATCACCGGTGAATCCCTGACAAAGGCTCTTGCAGGAAACAAGCTCCACCCCCTAATTTTTAACCCATTGCCCAAAGTCAAAGTTCCTGCAAATCTCCTGTCAGTGTGGCCTGCTGCCACACACAAGATCCATGGAGATCCATTGTTTAAACTTCCAATCCCTGGACCTCGATTTCCCGCTGATGCTGAAACCAGAACTCCCTTCATCATAGCTCCAAAAGAAGCAATAGATATAGCATCTTCATACAAGGGAATGAAACGGTACCCATAAGAAATGGATATCATGTCAACACCATCTGCAACAGCTTGGTCCATAGCAGCAATTAAATCTGATGTAAAAGTTCCTTCGCTAAAGCTAAACTTGTACACAGCTATCCTAGCTCGTGGAGGAACCCCTTTTGCTGTCCCTGGTGCATATCCAAAATGGGAAGCACCTTTCGCAAAGTTCCCAGCAGCAATGGAAGCGCAATGTGAGCCGTGACCACTAGTATCCCTAGCAGAATTCATGGAAATTGTAACATCCGACAATTTAAAAATGAATATGAAGAAGCTTGAAATTTGGAAATAGTCATTTTTGGAAAAATTTAAAATCTGGAAAATTTGGCTAAGTGTGGAAATCAGTGAGTTTTTGGCCAACTTTGAGCAGTCATAACTCCTAGATCAGGATGATTTAGGAGTAGTTCCAGTTATGGTTTCGAATCTTGTGGAACGATCTTTCCAACGCCACTGAGTTTGCTCGATTCCGAGTTCGTATGAGCGAGTTATGATCTTTGAAAGTTGGGCAGTTGGCAGGGATTCCGTTCCGGAAATTTAAGGGCATTTTGGTCTTTTCACAAATAATTTCTTTTGAGCTTATATTGTTGTATTAGGCTGATATTTGGATCATTTTGTCCCATTTTTAAAGAGAAAGAGTTAGGGTTCAAGAGAAGAAGAAGAGAAGAAGGAGAAGAAGAAGAGAAGAAAGAGGAGATCAACAAGATTTGTCAAGATCATTGTGGATTTTCGTCGGGGGTGATCCCTATCAAGGTATGTGAGTCTTTAGTGTGGGTTTATCCTTTCCCCCCACATACCAAGCTCGTTTTTATGATTTGAGAAGAGATTGGATTTGTTGTTGAAGTTGTTGAAGTTGTTAGTTGTTGTTGATGTTGTTAGTTGTGTTGTTGAAGTTATTGTTGGTTGTGGGACAGGATTGGGCTGTGTATTTGAGTTGTGACCTATTGTATATTGAGGGATTTTATGATCCTTAGTGTTGGTTGGTTCATACCCCCACACACCAACTCGTTTTTAATTCCAAGAGAAGATTTATTGGTTGTTGAAGTTGTAGTGGTGTTGTGTTGAAGTTCTTGCTGATTTAGTACAGATTTCTGGCTGTGATTTTTGAGTTGAATCTATTGTATAATAAGGGTCTTTATGATTCTAAGTGTTGCTGCTGAAACCTTGAGGTTGAGAGGGTTTAGAATTGGAAAGAAACAAGGGGAAAAAGTCGGATTTTTGGGGAAAAAGGGGCTGGGCTGTTGCACCTCTCCTAGTGCCAAGGACACCAATCCTTCCCTTTCATTCACCATTTCTTTTTTTATACATGTTCCTAGGTATTATACCTATGTTTCCTAGTTGTTTCCAACACTCCAAGGTACTTCCAAAAGTCAAGTAAAACTACAAGTCAAGTGAAGTTAGTTTCCAAGTCAAGTGAAGTTAGTTTCCAAGTCAAGTGAAGTCAAGCTTAGAAGTAAGTAAGTCAAAGCAAGTCTTTAAGGTTTTCCAAGAGTCTTCATTGAGCGTTTTAACTTCATTCTAAGGCTCAAGTTCCAAGTTAAGTATTGAGTTTCAAGTCAAGTCAAAAGTTAAGAGTTTCATGTTAAGTTAAGAGTTTCACATCAAGCCAAGAGTTCAAGTAAAGTAAAGAGTTTAAAGTTGAGTTCTTTTCTCAAAGTTATTAGGGAACTATGTATTCCCAAAGAAGTTTTAAAGAAATGTTTTTACATTTAAACAAGGTTGGAAACTGAGATTTCCAAAAAGCCTTCGGGCTAGTTTTTGAGTAATTATCTCATATCAGCAGGAAGAAATATGTTTTAAAAACATAAGAGCCAGTACATTTTTGGGAGTAGTATCGAGCACCGAATTGGGGGAGCGTTCAAAGAACCCACAGCCCCCATAGAACCATGTTAGCCACCATGGGTAGAAAAGGATCATACTTTTTAGATGAATCCTTTTCAGATTAGACTAGTGGATCCATTAGGCAGTTCAGGTCTTATACCTTTGGCCGGGTATAAGATGCTCTGGCAGCGTGAGGTCGATCGCTGTATCATCACTATAGCTCTTATGTGATGGTTGTCGGTTAGAGAAACTCCCACAGCAGTTATTGTATTTTTCATACACAGAGATTATTGTATTTTTTTATATACATCAGTTCATTGTATTTTTATACACATTTCAGGCTTATTGTATCCTTGTATACACACAGAGTTCATAGCATGTTTTAAGCAATCTTTCTTTATATCGCACTTGTTTTAAATTGCCTTATATTGAAAGAAGTCAGTCAGGTTGAGTTAAGTTGAGCCAGGTAAGCTATTCAGTTTCTTCCAGTTTTCCTTCTAGCCTTTGTTGCTTAGTTTTCCAGCTTGCATACTCGTACATTCCATGTACTGATGCCAGTTGGCCTGCATCGTTTGATGATGCAGATTCAGGTACCCCGGATCAGCATCCTGCACGTCGTTGATCCAGCTGAGCACTCCAGAGTCAGTGGTGAGCCTCTTTGCATTCCGGAGGACTCAATTATTTTGTGTTCTTAGTTTTTGTTTTATTAGGATGTTGCGGGGTCTGTCCCAACATCCATCTCAGTATTTTAGAGGCTTCATAGACAGACAGTCAGTCAGTTAGTTTTGAGTCTCTCATCTATATATATATGTAAATATTCTATTTTGAGATTCGAGTTGCCTTTATGGCCATATTTTATAAGTTAAGTTGTTTTGTAATATTGCATTGCATTGAGTTATTCTGTTGAGGTTTCCGCTGAGTTAAGAAAGCCAGGCCAAGGGTTCGCTTGGGGCTAGAAATGGTCTCCGGGTGCCGGTCCCGCCCAGGGTGTAGGCTCGGGGCGTGACAGAAATGTTCACAGTGGGATCATCAGCCAAAATTCCCTTATTGAAGTAATTAACCCCAATGAGTTTTCTATTGCACATCGAAGTATTAAACTGAGTGCCGGGTCTGCAAATTCCCTTCCACCTTTTGGGGATTTCAGGCATACCATCATCTTGGAAACTCGCGGACTCAGGCCAGATTCCACCATCAAGAACTCCAACAATCACATCTTGGCCTAAACTAGAAGATGGCCATAGGCCAGATGAAGGATTGAGCTTGAGGAAATCAGATGTGTGGGTAGTATGAGGTTCCACAGTTCTATCTTTGTAAGCTGAAACAAAACCTGGTAACTTCTTCAACGCTGCCAGTTCATCTTTGGACAAAACAGCACTGAAGCCATGAAACACATGGTCATAAGAGTAAACAAGTTTTGGAGCAGAGTGGAATCTGTCTACTGATGAAGGAACAGAAGCTTTGATGGAATCAATAGTAGAAGAATGCCAATGATGGTGATCAGTAAAGACATTAGGCATCAAAGATTTGTCCAAATGGACAATATAAGTGGATCTTTGTGCTATAGCTATGAAACAGAACATATGAGTAGAAAGAAAGAGAAGTTGAAGAGAATAATGAAACCCCATTCTAGATTCCATAGCACTACACAAAACACTTCCTAAATCACTAAATTTTCAATCTATCTTATTAAGATTAGGCATAGAAAAGCATGAGGGTCCCTTGAGTTATCAGTAGAGTTAGGTGGAGATTAAAATAAGCTAAAGAGGTATTATTGTAGTAGTAAAGGTAGGCGGCTTGTATAAAAGTAAACTATACCAATTCTGTCAGCTTATGCTCCTTTTGCTTCTAAATAATATATTAGTATCTGTTAATGATTTTAATAAGCATTGTTGATTTGTAGAATCAGTCAAATGAGAATTGAAAGATTAGAAAAGACAAATGACTATTCAGCACAATTATCATTTTGGTCTTTATTAGAAGATAAAATCTTATATTTTTGAGTCCACAAACTTTGGATCCATTTTTTTGTGAGGTAAAAAACAATCTCATATGATCAGTATCGGTGGTTTGAATCACAAAAATGATTTTAACTTTGTCATAAGTCATCTCTTTTTTTCTAAGAACTTTTATCTTTTGCTTTCTTAATGACTCGAATGTGATAATGCCATATTACTTCTCCAATAATTGTGGGCTTTAATCAAAGGTTCCATGTGATAAGGCCATAGACCTTTCCTCGTGGTCCCAAATTTCATCAATCACTCAAAATCAATGATGTAATGGGATATAAGAAAGGAAGATAATATTTTTATCTTTAAAGAAAGAGAGAATTCAAAGTACTAGAGAGGAAAACTAAAGAAGCAATATTCCTAGCTTAGTATCACCAGAGGCACCATTGACCTTCGTCATTTTGCAAATGTTATCGAGTTATTGATTTACGAGGTTGATATTATGACTATGATCCTTTCAAACCTATAATCACCTTAGACCTATTTGTGTTCGTCTCACACCTATATTTCTATGATAATGATAATTGATAATCACATAAACGCTTTAATTTATAATTTCCATTATTAAACTAAGTCGGGCTTACTTAGTTATATCTCTATCTTAGATGCAAATCCTCTCCCCGATGGCCAAGGTTAAGATCCTACTCTACTTAATCCTCGTTCTATCTCAATTTCCCTCTCTTTCGAGTTCAATACAAGAATTTAGATGTATTATACTAAGTCTCGAATGAGTGAAATAGTAAATTCAAGATCAAATAAACAACGCATATGATAAATGCAGTTCAACTCAAGACGTAACATCCTGGATCATAATATATAGAATTAGCATGGTATTATTAACTCTGTAGACACACAAATTTTATTGAATTTAATTCATACAAAATTTGGATTAAATCCACATTTATTGGGTTGAATGATTAATTTGGCCTTTACAAATAAATAAGTCCATTTTTATTAAATTCAAGTCCAAAGTCTATTTCACCTTGAAGCCCAAACTCATGCCACGTGTCACAGTGACTAGGCATCGAAGACCAACAAGGTGATGCCACGTGTTCAAATGAGGTGGTAGTCCCAGTCAAATGCAAGAACCAATCACAACATGCCAAGTGTCAAAATGACATCCTTTGGCCAATCAAAAGTAACCTTGTCCACCCGCTACAACTATAAATAGGGGATGGACATGACATTCTAAAGGGGATCAAAGGAGACCATTCAAGAAGCATTCTACAATTGGAGAAAGCTACAACACCAACTGCATAGCTCTTCGAATGAGTGATCAACGGAGTTCTTCCCGGAGATCGACTTGCAACGACGAAGTGCTTTCCGATGTTCCTGAAGATTAAATACATCTCAAGGAGGTCTACATCATCCTACATTCGAGAAATATGCTACTGAAGGCCCTCGAATCACGGAGAAACTTAGGAGAAAAGAATCAAGAGAACAACAGAATTGTACTCACAAAGATTCATCAATAAAAATCACATTTTCTTTTATTTATTTCTTACGAAAATTTGTTGCGAACAAACTCAACATCATGTTTATTACAATGAAACTTCAACTACTGTAAACTTAGTATTCTCTGCACACATATTCATTAGCTTGCCCTCATTTGTTCAACTTTTCTGAAGCAAAAACTTTTAACTTGTACATTCACATAGAAAGAAATATACAAGTTTTTTTTTATTTTTGTACTACTTCATTTCCCTTTATACCTCTAAAACTCAAGAATCTGATGGCCCTAGTCATCACTCGCTACCCCAGACCTCAACAATGGGAGATGTCACAATAGGACTCCTAACAGAGTGGTTACCCTTCTCTTCAACCCAAGTGATCGACCCAAAGTTCGTACTCTGATCACTATCACCTATATATTGAATTGTCAAACTATAACTTTGCTTATCATTTTTCCCCTTGAACACCAGAGTTCGTGGAGACACTGAAATTGTGGAATTCGTAGGAGTTTCAATCTTCACATTATAAGTTGCTCCACCTTTACCAACATTTGTCAGGGTCCTCCTGAATTTCTGCTCCAACCAGGTGTAGTTGCGCTCGATGCTGAATGGGTACAAGGCAATGAATGATGGGTAATTGAGATCAGCTGAAGGATTTGAGCAGTTGTCGTAATTGGCTGATGATCTTGCAAATGTTTTGAACTGCTCTTCTGTGAAATTCAAAGAGCATATAAGATTTATGTAATCTTGTGGAGTGGCATCATATATGAGGCCGGGGTCAAGAGCTTTGTTCGGGTCAACATGTCCTGCTCCCATTTCTAGGGGTGTGGCTACCCTATTATTATCCCTTCTAATAGGCTTATGAGTATTATCCAAATGGTTTGCTGTGGTCATCATGGCCGAGCGAATAGCTGAAGGACTCCATTCGGGATGCACACTTTTTAGCATTCCTGCAATTCCAGCAGCATGAGGTGCAGCCATGGATGTGCCTGATTTAAGCTCGTAATCAGTGGTTAATTGTATGTTCTGAATACTGTCTGATACGAGATTAGGTGGAAATGCTGCAAGAATCAGTACCCCTGGCGCCATAATATCTGGCTTTGCAATTCCCAAATAGCTTTTGGAGGGCCCTCGTGCTGAGTTTCCTGCAACAACTGGGGCTGGGCTTCCATCCACATATGTTTCTTGGAATGTGATTGTAGCCGTTGGAGAAACACTGTTTTCAACGTAATTGATGATTTGTTTCCCTTCCTTTTTGTCAACCACAACTCCTGGGTAGGGAAATGAAGAAGACCTGAAAACTCCTGGATCCTCAGAAATAAAAATGCCTGCTTTAAGCCTTGCTCCGATGACGTGAGAAATTTGACTAGAGAAACCCCAACCCGCTTCATCTGCATTGTAATCACAGATAATGATGGTGCGTTCGGGATCAGGAACTTGTGATAACAATTCATCTGAATCGCAAGCGGCTAGAGTCTTGTTGTAAATCACTGGAGAATCCCTGACAAAGGCTCTTGCAGGAAATAAGCTCCACCCCTTAATTTTTAACCCATTGCCTAAGGTCAAAGTTCCTGCAAATCTCCTGTCAGTGTGGCCTGATGCGAGACACAAGATCCATGGAGATCCATTTTCTACAGATGAACCGCTACCTTCATTTCCAGCTGAAGCTGAGACCAATACTCCCTTCATCATAGCTCCGAAAGAAGCAATTGATATAGCATCTTCATACAAGGGAATGAAACGGTACCCAAAAGAAATGGATATCATGTCAACGCCGTCTGCAACAGCTTGGTCCATAGCAGCAATCAAATCTGATGATAGTGTTCCTTCATTACAGCTAAACTTGTACACCGCTATCCTAGCTCGTGGAGCAACCCCTCTTGCTGTCCCTGGTGCATATCCAAAATGGGAAGCACCTTTCGCAAAGTTCCCAGCGGCAATGGAAGCGCAATGTGTGCCGTGACCATCAATATCCCTGGCAGAATTCATGGAGATTTTCACAGTAGGATTATTCGCCAAAATTCCCTTATTGAAGTAATTAGCCCCAATGAGTTTTCTGTTGCACATTGAAGTATTAAACTGAGTGCCTGGCTTGCAAATACCTTTCCACCTTTTGGGTATTTCAGGCATACCATCATCTCTGAAACTCGCGGATTCTGGCCAGATTCCACCGTCAAGTACACCAATGATCACATCTTGTCCTAAACCAGAAGCTTGCCATAACCCCGACGAAGGAGTGAGCTTGAGGAAATCAGATGTGTGGGTAGTATGAGGTTCCACAGTTCTGTCTTTGTATGCTGAAATGAAACCTGGTGACTTCCTCAAAGCTGCCAGTTCATCTTTGGACAAAACAGCACTGAAGCCATGAAACACATTGTCATAGGAATAAACAAGTTTTGGAGCAGAGTGGAACCTGTCCACTGATGAAGGAACAACAGCTTTGATGGAATCAAGAGTGGAAGAATGCCAATGATGGTGATGAGCAAAGACATTAGGCATAAAAGACTTGTCAAGATGGACAATGTAAGTGGATCTTTGTGCTAAAGCTAAAAAGAGATGAGCAAAAAAAGCCCATGGAAGCAAGACTAGATGTAAAGAACAAGGAAACCAAATATTTCTTGATCCCATGTTCACTCACTACACTACACTTGTTAAGACACCAAATATTCATTTGACTTTATAGGATTAAACATAGAAGCATATGAGGTCCCTTTAGCAATCAATTCTGTTAGGTGGATACTGAAATGAACTAAGAGGTATTAATGCAGTAAATATAGGCGGCTTGTGTAAACCAATCAAAAACTTGAGAGGACCTTAGATGTCAATCTTGACTATTGTTATCCATTTAATTCAATGTTATTTCTTTATACTGTAATATAATTTTTTTATGAATTTCTTAAGGCAATAATCTTTCACCCTTTCTTCTTGATCATATACCCCTTTGTGGAAATAGTAGTGAACATTGGTGAAAAATTAAACAAGTAGATATGTGTCATTCTTTTAAAAATAAAATCGAACAAATAGACAGGTATTTCATTTTCCTTTTCAACTAGGGGAAAAACCGCCATAGAGTCCTTTACATTTTTTTGTGGTCCCATGTTTAATCAATGACTCAACATCAATAATGTAGTGGGACGTAATGGTGGGATGCGGCAAATCACTAAGCTTCTAATAAATGTTTTGATATAAACGTAAATAAGAACAGCCGCCTCAGTCTATCTTGGCAGAGTGTGGATAATTTTTATCACCATTTTATCCACAATCACATCATTACTAATCATCTTTGTCATAATCATCATTATCACTATGGTTAATTATATATAATTACGTCGCTAACCACCAACCGCCATCACTAACCACTTTTACCGCTACAGGCCATCACTACCGCAAGTCACCTCCACCTCCACCAAATTGTCCACCATAGGACCTTTCTTCTACCACTATTAATCACATTATCATCACTGCGGTCTATCTCTACTATCAACTATTTTCATCATCACAATTAGTACGGTTGCTAACTGACAACAACATATCATCAACTTAGTGGCAGACCTATATTGTGACTTATGGGTGCTTAAGCACCCACCGTCTTTTGTGACAACATTATTATTTATGTACAAAAGTTAGTAATTCATTGAAATATATTAACTGAGCACCCCTTATATGTAGCAATTTTCGAGCTAAAAATAGTTGAGAACCCATGATACAAAATTTCTGGATCCGCCAGTGCGTCAACTACCACACATTCTCTAGTTACCATCACGTTAGTCACTACAACATCAATCACCTTCTCCATCACAACTATCACCACTATTATTACTAACCACTAACATAAATCATTACTATTTACGTCTTAACTATTTAGTATCTAGATCTTAATGCAATATCTTAATATTCAGATGTGTATTTAGATTCAAACCTCTAAATCTTAATGCACATCTTAATATTCAGACGTGTAATTCGAATTCAAACATTTTAAGCTTTACGAAAACAAATAAGACCTAAATATTTTTGTATTTTCTTCTTAAAGACAACAATCAATTGTAAGTTGTAACAGAGCAGAGACAAAAAAGGGAAACCCTCCCCAAAATCCCAAATAGCATGCTGACAAGTTCTTTGCAGCGACTTCTCCTCACAATTGGGTAAAATCTTCTCACTTTTCTTTCTTAAACGTTCTTCATTATTCTTTCTTAACATGTTTTTTTTGTGTATCAACATTGTCGATTTGGATTGATCATACTTTAGGGATAAAAGAAATAGGCAATGCCCTTTTGATTGGAGAAAAACTTTTAATTCAGTATTTATCATATCATATCATATTATTATAAGTGGGAACATCACAAATAAAAAGTTGAAATACCAAAATGCCCTTGTAAAATTAAATGACTCTATTACCATTATTAAGGTAAAATAATAATAATCAGATTCTTCCACTTTTAGTTATCTTTTTTCACTATTTCTTTTCATTTTATTTAAATAAGAAGTCCAAAGTCTATGTAATGTGGGTAATTTAAGAACTTGTCTTCTTTTAATAAAAAACTTTTCATAAGACTTTTAGGTATTTACAAATATATATTCAGTTTTGATATGAAATTGCTGGAAAATATGGGTACAACAAACAGAGTTTAGAGGCTATTTGAAGGAATTGCTTTTCCGATTGTATGAAGGGATTGTTGTATACAAGTGCAAATAAGATTAGATTTGTTGTGCACATGAAATACTTTTTTTTATATCAAATTGAAGATTACATGAGGTAAAAAAATTTCATAGTCTGTAGTGAAATATTTATGAATATTTTATTTCTCCAAATAATTTTTTTTTGTGTAAAAAAATGTGATGAACATATCTTTTGATATATATATTTCTTGTTTAACAATGATGATTTAATTTTGACGTCGAGCAGGGTTGCTGTATACGGATACTGTGAAGTTCATGATTATTATGATCACATTCTTTCTTCTATTTTGAATCTCCAGGTAATTGTTATTTTAATTTTAAGATTGCCTTTCTCTCTCTCTCTTTTTTCATTTTTGTTTTTTTTTTGTTGGAAACTTTTTGAGTTCTTATACCACAAAACTTATTTTTTTTCATATTTGCCTTTTTCCATTTATCAGTTACGTTTCTTTTAAATTTCTCAACCCTTTAAATATAGGTAGTGTGAATACTCTTTGCAATAATAAATAAATATTATTTACAAAACAATAACATGCACTCTTTATTTATCGATATATAATTCATTCCCTTTTGAATCAAGTTACCATGAACTTTTAATTTTAATTTTAGGATTAGATTTTTCCCAATTCAAGAATCTCTTAATATATTTTCTAATTAGTAATTATATTTGGATAATTAATACTACAAAATAGTAATTATGTAGGAATAAAACGCTAGAGAATTTACATAATCTCAAAAGTATCCAATCTCTATATATATAAAGCTGGATATAAGATTGTTGATGTGGCACCTCTCAAAAGTTAGGATTCTTATTTATCTTTTCTCTTATTTTTTAAAGCTTTTTCATAGTTTTAATTCATGCAATATGTTTAAAATAATAAAACTTATCTCATTTATTAATAAGAAGATGAAACTGTCAATTTAAGTGAATTAAAACTAGCACGGTTAGTAATTATTAGCATTGCCCATTCCTATTCCCATCTCTAATGTTACTTTTTCTTCTCATGTCTTTTGATATTTCATATAAATTTGAACATAATTGGGTATGTTGTTATACACTTCCCATAATTGTTCATTTTTATTTTTTAAATACACTTTCTATAATTATCATCTATATTTATATATATTTTAAACCTAAACTTAGAAGACATGATGTGGTATGCTTCAAAAGCCAACAAATTTGTAATGCTATTTTATCTCTTTTTTGGTTATTTTTATTTCATTTTGTTTATTTATGGAAAAATTGTACATAATGGCAAACTATTAATTCAAATTAAATGATATAACCACACTTTAATTTAATTGTGCCCTATAGCAAATTGTTTGCCAGTCGCCTCTCTCCCTCAAACTCTCGCTCGCCACTCTCCCTCTCTCGCTCGCTCTCTTTGTCGCTTGCCTCTCTCGCTTTATACAATAGAAATGTATAAATGTGTTTCTGTTTGTATAAAGCGAGAGAAAATTGTATATACACATGCAAATACATATATATTCGTCTTATACACTTGTAATTATACAATAAAAATATTCCCCTGGCCAGTTCTCTTTTGCCTTTCTCTCTTTCTCGTTTTATACAAACACAAATTATACAAATATAATGTATAATTTATGTTTGTATAAAGCGAAATAGAGAGCGATTTTTTATATACAAATATTTTTGTCAACGATTTATACAAACGAGAGGCTAACAACAATTTATACAAATGGTCTGCCAACAAAATTATACAAATCTAAAGAGGAGCCAATGAATTATACAATTGCTTCTTTTTTTGTATATATGGATTTTGAAATAGACATAACTTTCAATTGTATATGTATAGCGAATTATACATATATATGTTTGCTATGTAGCGCAATTATGCAAACTTTGTTATAGCATACAAATATGATTTTTTTGTTTGCTATATCTGAAAGTTGCTCTTTATTTATTTATCCATTAAATTTCTGAGTATTAAAAACTTGACTCATTAAACTTAATTATCGCTTTATTATGCAACCTTTTGCATTCTCACTTTCAGTTTTAAGCTACACATTGAATGGGGCAATAACTAGAAAAGGATAAGCAAAACAAAATCGGCTATATAAGGCTTATGTGCAAAATGGTTGTGTATGAATGGTATGAGGCATACATGTTTAAAGAGAGATCAATTCTTTTGTTTTTCTTTTAATTTTTGGTCTTGCATAGTTCCAAAGAAAAAAATGTGTTTTAGTTTTAAGAAGCTTTAATTTGTTTCATTGTCTCCCCAAAATGTACAGATCAATTTTATGAACGTGGAAGAGATTGGTAAATAACTGCTAACTGATCTTGCAATATTTTTTTTCTTTTTATTGCTCTCTCTCCTTCTTGATTCTCCATATTTTTTTATAAATTTCTTACTTCGATTACTAAGCTTTCTGAACTTTTCGAATGAATCAGGTGTTCTTTTTTACAAAGGCACGCAACGACCAACATAAAAAGTAGCAAGATGATTTTGCATCATTGTAATTAAATTAGGTAGTTAGTGTCATGAATTAAGTTCCGCACTAATTTAAATATTCTTTTATCATATGGTGATAGAGAGACAGGTTGATAGAAGTTGCACAAACCGAGCATAGACTCTTAATTAAGTTTAGATTACTTTCCCGAAGATAAAATTTTGAATGTAAAAAATCGAACAAAAATTTTGAGAGGTTATTTAATTTAGGTTTCTTATATATTTATATAAATTTCGTTCTTTTGCACATGTATATTTTTCAAATGAAACAGGATATTACTTTATTAAGATTGTGATTAAGATGTCTTAGGATGTTTTAATAGATAACTCTAAGTTGCTTAATTTAATAAAATTTGGTAAGTGAGATGCGTATTTTAAACTTTTATTTGTTTGTGTTAAATTGTAATTTTCTATTATGAGAAAATTATAATCAGTAATTTCATTCAATTTTTTATGGCCGCGCGAAGTGCGGTTGAGTTCACTAGTTATGAAATATGTTGTAATTATAATATGATGCAGTTAGAGAACATTTTTACGATAATAAATACTACTACTAGATATCTTACATAAAAATGGCCTTACATATTCTCACGCTATATAAGTAAGATAAGTTACCATTATTGTCATCAAATTC